ATTGCACCATTCTTTTCACGACGATCGTACAACACTCGAGTGTTAATTCTAGGCCATAACAAGATTAGGTTAATTTCATCCGACGCAGACCAGAGAACGGAAGCGCCCGGAAAAATATTAACAATTCAAAGAATTTGAAGACATTATTAATGGGAAAGAAAGGAAAAAATTTAAACTTTTGAAATTTTGTCTGCTTTTCAAATCGGAAAACAAATTTCACGTGAAACTCATTCATGAACTAATCATTCTGTCTTTAGATGACAAAAATTAGAGCTATTAAGCTGAAAATTTGTAAGAAAACCGGAGAGAAAAATGAAATTTGAAGAGAAAAAAAACTGGTGAAATCTCCATAAGCTGTTTATTTAGAATGAAAAGAACTTGATTTTCAAAGAGCGTCTATTTTATTCGTTTTTTTTTTAAACTTCTTCATTAAAAAGTCGTCCATTCAAATGACAGAGTGAAATGAAATGGTTTCGGTCAAATCCATTTCGGATTGGCGCACGAGAGTAAACGTGAAATGAATCTCTATTGAAACGAATCATATACATTCGGAATATGAGGTGGATTTTCACAATATCTTATCTAAATTACTATAAAATGATCCACTTTCGTTGCTTGATGAGCGCATATGTGTATGTGTGTGTGTGCTCACGCTGTGGTGGCAGTGGCAACGTTGTGCCGAGTTTGCTTTCATTTACCTTGAAACTTCTCAACAAAAGTAAACAACAGTCGCAATAAAAGCCTGATTTTAAATATGACTATAAAAGTTCCATCGCGATGTGGTATTAATGAGTTGCCTGCATTTTCAGGTGCGCGAACAACGAAGAAGAAAAAGTGTTTCAAACACATCACAGCGCACAACAATAATGTTAAAATGAAATTTTCGAAACTCTCATCATCGCGTACATTCAAGTGCTCGAGCGAACGAGCTCATCGAAAAGAATGAAAATGAAGAGAGAAAAAAAGCGAAGAAGCCGTCTTAATCTTGATCACGACGTTCGGTTGAAAGAAGCAATGGCGCAGTAGCACAGTAGAAGAAGAAGCAACCATTAACATGTATTTAATTTATTGCGTTTGTTCCCGACTCGAATTGAATTCGAAATAGACAGGCAAAATGTAGATTATGGCTCGGCACAATATGTGAAACGAAAAATCACTTTCCTTATGCATAATCAACTGAAGCGCACAGAAAATGGCATTTTTAGCATATTCACGAATGATTTCATCTTCTGCTGCAGTGGCTGTTGCTGCTGCATGTGCATCGCGTCTCTCAATATATATTTTTTTTATCATTGAACTTTAACTCTATCATTTTCTAAACAAAAACACACTCACACACGTCGTCAAAGTCAACGACGACGACGACGACGACGACGACTACCAAACAAAGCCACACAATGGATCAAGATCATGGATGCCGCCGTTAAAACCATGAGAAAATTTTTCGACGGAAAAAGAAGCACACACACACAGCCAGAATCACTTTAATGTTTTATTTATATATTCCGTTGGTAGACGCTTATTGTTTGACTTTCTTGTGTGTTTTTGCTTTCAATTTCTTCCATTGAATTTATTTGCTAATGTGACTTAAGGTGAATTACGCCCGCATTGAGACTTTCTCACAAGCGTTGCTTCGATTTAACGACGATAATCCATATCTGTTGTGTTGTGTTCTCTGTTGTTGTTTTTTTTTCTTTCGTTTCGAAAATGATAGCATTGAAAAAAATACAATTATGTTTTCGACAACGACGACGATGGCAGGGTCTCACTTTTGCTCTTGCTTTGGCGCATTCAAAATTCGTGCCTCTCCTGTCTGCGGCATAACGCAATTTTTGCGTAGCACAGAAAGGGAAAAAGAGGTGAAAACATGGTTCGCAACAAACAAGTCAAGTCACACAGAGACTTGTTTGCCAAATCTAATTATGATCATTGACGTTGTGTGTATATGCCTTGATACAATAGCGAGATACGAATGAAGGAAAAAAATTGTACGTGCCGATCGAGCGTCGAACCACCAGAGAGACAATGTGTCCACGGGGCTAGAGCTCAATATCGTTTGCAAACCACGAAAACAGTATAATTATTATATTGGCCAGAACCACAAACGATGTCTCGTTAAAATGAAAATGCAAGCAAATCCAGAGAGCAAGCGCCTATTTTGTGAATAGGCTGTTCGTGACTTGTCGGCAAATAACACTGATTGTTCAAAGTGCATCATAATCTTGGTGTTTTTCTTTTGCCCTCGCTTCGCTTCTCTCCTCTGTTTTGCCACAGTTTGTTTTGATATCATTTATAATCAGTATCGTTCAGCGAAAGAAAGTGAAGTTTCAATTTGGTTGCATATTTTCAATTTCAAAAGAAGAAAACGAAGCGAGAGTAAGAGAAAAAAAAATAAAAATCACAAATGTCTTGATGCACTTACGGCCCAGCATTTTCATACTTTTCGAGTTGAATTACGTCGATGGCTTTTCGAGCGAAGTGTTATGTTAAACATGATTGTGGCATTTTCGGGTGGTTTGGCGAGGCCACAACCAATCATAAAGTTATTAAACTAGATTGTATTCTCACTTTTGGAACAGCGTCTATTTCTACATGTATACACAAACAAATTGGTGTACATAACCGCAGGTAAGTGAAAAATCGAAATTGGCTGTTTTCATATCTAGCACACATATTTTTCTCTCTCTTGCGATCGCTGCTATTTTGCGCTTTACGTGCATTTAATTGACCCAACGAAATTTGGCATTTGGTACTCGGAATTTTTCGGACGGAATTTTTTTTATTTATATAATGATCTCAGCGGCGCCTTCCTTTTTCTCACCAATAAATCTAGAAAGTATACAACTTGAAAGCATTTGGGAAATGGCTTCTCAGCCTAAGGGATATATATAAACAGCATTCCAAACGAAATGTGTTCAAAATTCAACGATTGTCGAGTTTCCGAGTGGCCGTCATGCATATACTTTAAAAACACAGGCACCGAAGAACATTCACACCATTCTCTGTCTCTGTGAAGCCATGGCATGGTCTCGTTGCCTGCTTACAGCCCATGCACAGTGTTGAAATGGTGCAGTTGCTCGATGATTCGTCTTGGAATTTTATGTAAATCAATCAACGATGTAATTCAATTATTTCACATTTGGAAATCTAGGCCAGCAAAGACATTCTCTCTTTCTCTGCTGCTCGTATTCTATAACGTGCGAGAGAGCGTCGCTTTCAAATAGAAAAAGGTAATTTCGAACTTATTTAACGACAAATTTCTGCTCAAATGATTGAAATAATCATAGTAATGTGGTTGGTTATACTTTTCGTTAAAATGTGTAACGGCCGTGCGCGCGCACACACAGAGTGAATGAAAATATTGGAAAAAATGTTAGAAACCATCGCCGATAGGCAGCTAAACAAACTGTCAAGAGAGCATAGAACAAGTGTTCATCAATGCATGCCGTCACACAAAGTGTATCTGGGCTTTGAACTCATTCGCTTGATTGCATCGCACCGTAAATTACATCAGCTACGTTTCCGATTGCGTTCGAATCGGAGTTTATTAACATTTCTCTCGGTATGTTTCAATGTATACACAAACGGAGAGAGACCCAAATTCCATGCACAGCCATCGACTTTATCGAATCACATAATGTCTGTGATCAACATATTTATGTCATCGGAATCCAATCAAACGGAACCGATGAGCATCGTATACACATGGCCGATCGATGCATGATGGTTCACACGTGTAGCAAATGATTTAAAGGTGAAAAGCAACAAGTACTTTGCGTTTTTTTTCCTATTTTTTTTTCTCATTGCCATTCATTAACGGTACACATGAGTATTGATCACACCATGCCAACAAACACCTTGATATTCGATGCTTTTTTTATACACAACAATCTTTTTCTCTCATATTCAATTGACCATTTGCTATCGGATGGTATAATTGCTGAAAACCAGTTCAAATGCTTCTTTCCACTGCGTGGTTATGTTCCATTCTTGGCTTGTGTCGCGTTTTTTCACTCCTTTCAATTTACTGGTCTAAAATGATAATTCCATTGACTCGGTGAAAAGTGTGTCTTTGCCAGTGGGGCCCGTCTCGCTGCCGACAGAACTTTTCTCTCTTGAATACGTTTCTTTTTAATTGATCGAAGCTAATGGACGAAGGCGATCAAGATGCGGAAATGTCAAACTGGAAAAAACTAGCGAATCTTCTAAACCCGTGAACGTCTTTGCCGTGGATTTTGCACCAGAGCCACGGTTTAAATAAACTAATATTCATATTCGTGCCTATCCAATTAGTTTTGCTTGGTAATTTATTAAAATGAGCTGTCGTTTTTTTTGCCCATTTCTCCGACAAATGAACTACTACTGTGTCACAAGAATCTAGTTCTATGGTGATTTAAACATGTGAAAAAGAAACTGTTAATTGAAATTAGGTTTTATGTGTCAAACAATCCAATCCAAACAATTGGCTGAAATGTTAATTTTTATGCAAATCCCAAGAATTGGTTCGTGAGACACGCTCGGTCAATAAAGAACCGAGTCGATTTTTAACGAAAACTCGCTAATTTGACGATATTGTTGCACCAGTTTTTTTTCTCTTTCGAACAATTTCTTTCTGTGTACAACAATGAGACATTTGCAACGTTTACTTTAATGAATCGCTTGCTGTTTGCATATATTTCAAAATTATCATACAAAAGATCGATCGATTTGAATGGGAAATCATGTGGTAAAGTCTAGTGCCCCAGTTTGCGGTTAGTTGCACCGATTACCCGTACATTGTAGGATTTGATGGCCGTTTTTTTTTCTCTCTGCCTCTATTTTCATTGAATTTGCATCTCATTGTAAATACACAGTTGCTAACTGTTTGAAGAACGTGGCAGCATCATTAAAAAAGAGCACTGCCAATATAATAATGAAACCGATAGAAAATCGCGTTTCAATTTTGATGAGTTTAGTCACTCTCTGTATGTGTGTGTTTGTATGTGTTGATGAATGCTTACCACAAAATGGGATTCCGTCTGGAGTCCATTGTCCATTGTCACAAACGCGTCGTGCCGGGCCCAACAGTTCAAATCCCCGTTCGCATGTGTACGTTGCTATTGTGCCACTTTCCAGTGAATCGTCTGAAAATTCAACGTTGCTGTGAGCAGGTGAACCTGGAAAGCTGCACGATTGTGCTGCAAAAAGAAAAAACAAAGGAAAAGAAGAAAAATTAGAATGCGGTAGTTAAAATGTGATTATTTCTGCATATTGATTAATCGGTTGGCCAAAGTCGAATCAAGTGGAGATTTTCGAGGGGAATCATAATGCCAATTATTTCATCATGTGACCAAATTCTAAACCGAAATTGCTCATAACATTGATCTTGATCGCACGCAAAATGTGACACGCAGTAGCAGCCATGAATGGGTGGTGATTTGATGTCACGAAACGTGCTTATAATTTGAACTGCACACACACAGACCATTTTCATGTGTGCTCACAGAGTGAGAGTTAGCCGAATGTGCCGTTATACAGATGATCAAATTACAAACACGATCAGTTTCAGGTCTGCTGCCTCATACTCTTCTTTTGATTCTCATTCAACCTTTTCCACAATGCTTATTATGCGCAAACGAATAACAAATGAGTTTCGGCCGGAGAATTTTCCTTCTTCACTTTGAGACATCATTCGTTGACGAAAAATGTCTAGCGAACAACCTTTTAGCATAATTTCGTTTGCTTCATAGCGCATTTTATTATTTGGGTGTTGTTTCTCCCATTCGTTATGTTCTTTTTTTCTTCCTCTCTCTCTCTCTCTCTCTCTCTCTCTCTCTCTCTTTCTCGCTGTCCATGATTTTGAGTTGAATTTCTATCGCGGCGTTTGCATACAAAGCCGAGTCGAGTCGTGTTCACTTTGACCATTTCACACGGTCGGTGTGTAATAAACCGTCGAAAGGTAATGGGTGCGTGAATGTGTTCCATTTGCTTTGTCGTGTTATTTTGCAATATTCTAGGTCTGTCCGAGCACGATTCCACTAGATTATTCCATACCTATGTATATTAATTGAAACTCTATACAGCGTCAACCATTCATTTTGTGTTTTTTTGTTCTTACGCCGAAGCATTTTTTCTTCATTGCCATTTTATCGCTTTCGATAATTAAATAATAATTTTTTTAATTTGGGCCGGAAAAGAAGCATTTTTTTGCTTTATCGCCTTTTCTAGAACGGGCATCAATCAGCGAATGCATGGAAAATGGCGATCATAAAAATGGAGAAGATCGAGAGAAATGGAACAAATGTGAATGCAACGTAAAGAAACGAGATTTGAAGAGAAAAAAAATGAAAGAAAAAAAGAAAATTAAAAAGAATAACTCATTTTTCTACGACCAAAGAATGAATTATCTACACAGAAAAAGTTTACGACTTTTTCCAACAACACATCAAAATATGAAGAATTACAAACGAAAATATATTGAGAAAAACATGACATTTTAATTCTTTTGAATGATTTCGTTCCTTTTTTTCGAGCAATAAAATGCACAATGGCCATCAAAACAGCCGAGTGAGATTGTGAGATCGGCGTGCCTTTTTAAGTGACATCAAACGAAGAGATAGCAAAACGAACACGGCAACAACACTCGGAGACACGGAGAAAAAACGCATGTCTTGTGAACTGAACACCTGTTGAAAATTCATTTGCCCGAATTACGAAATTTCGAGCAATAGAAACAATCGACGACTTGCAGTTTGGTTAAACCGCACCGACAAAACAACCGAAGAGCGAATGAAAAAAAAACTGGCTGTTAAATGTTGTTACACGATTTCCATAACTGCTTTTTTTGTTCTTCCTTTAAAAACAACAACGAGAAAGACACTTGTGAGGTGCTGCTGCTGTTGTTGCTAGTGCCGTTGCTTATATGCGGCATTTCCATTCACATTCAATACACCATTTCGTTTCTATGCACGCGTAACGGTAACGGTCTTTCCGAGGCGGAGATCGGTTCGCTCTTCACTTCAAATAATACATATCTCTCGCTAAGCTTTGGCGAATATGCCACAAAATTGGCTTGCAATACACAATTATACCCACTTTTCGAAGCCTACATAAAAACGTTTATACTCTACACATATGCTTGTGCACATACGAAACCCCGAAAAATGCCTGTGTTTCCACTCGCTAGAAATATATTCGTTAGGCGTGTGTGTCGTTTTTGTTTCTCTTCGGGAATTAAGGCAAACATAAAATATGTGCACTAAATAAATGTTTCGGAGAGAATGAAAGAGTCAAAACAAAACAAAGCACGTGTGCAAATGAAGTGAATCGAGAGTCGGTGCACAGAGCGGCAAATGCGGCAACAATGTTTAAGACCGGTTCACGAAAAATAAAAAATGGAAATCTGCTCGGTGTGTTGGAGAAAAGTTAATTGCACATTTTATTCTCTCGTCTTTTGAGAGTCGAGCATTTGAAATGTACAGCAATTTTCTATAGATCGCATTCACAAACCGAATCGAAATCGCATACATACATTCGTTTCTTAATTATTTATATCATAAACGGTAAAAAAATCAAATAACTCTGCATGTTTCGTTTGTGGCCTGCATTCATTTCTTGGTATTGATTTTCGGGCGGCATTCCACTCGGGTGTGGACCGAAAATTCAAATTGAAATTTTTATTTATGACCAAACCTGTTCTCCACTTGAAACGGTAAATTATCTTAGATGCATTTATAATATGTGGCCCGCAATCCGATGTCCGTTTTGTGATTGGAATTTATCGCTTCGCCATTCGGATTGCATGTGGAGAGCATGTTGCATTTTTCATATTATTATTTTTTTTCGGCATAAATTAAAAATGCACATGTACGTACATGTGTGTGCAACGGTATGTCTTTGAACGACCTTGTCGTTGAAGTGGATTGAACAATCGCGATCCGTTCAAACCAGATCTATTGCGAAATTGATCGACATCAAGACAACGGGACTGTACGAAAACCATTCACATACATATTAAAAAGCAATATTTTATCGTTCGCGATCGAGGTTTTAGCGAACGAAAAGAAAAAAAACATTCCTGCATTTCAAACGATGTATGTGCATGTGGGATTTTGCACTTCGGGCTATGTGCACAAGTGCAAAATAGTTGTAAGTTAATCGAAATTAGCGGCGATATGGAGTTAAAGTGAACTAATTAAGTGCGGCTGAAATTGAAATCTGAATACAAATTGGCTCATTTTTCTTGGTTTAGCTGGAAGCAGTTCACCATTTTGAGCATTAAATCAAGCTTGATCATCATCATTCAACCAACCGTATTGGATGTCATGCCATTCATTAAATTCCTTCATTTCGATTACAACATATAATTCGCTTCTAGCGTGTGGGACATCATGATCGAAAAGCTATTATTGCTCTCCCATCGATGAACCACAATTGTAGCCGAATGGGGTGCAGTAACAAGTGCCGCTGTCATTTTATTGACATTTTTTCCTCTTCAAAATGAACGAGTCATACGAACGTTGGGCTGCTACATAATTCCATGGCAAAACCTATCATTTTAGCTGGATTGAACAATTTCCAGTGGAGAATCGGAATGAGCAATTGATGCGCTCGAGTTTCATCATCAAGCTGCAGAAAGATGGAGTAGCCGTAATGGGCAAAGTAAATGATCACTCTCTCGAATCGAGTCTGATGAAGTAATAAATGCGATTTATTGAAGAATTGTTTCAATTAGATTTTATAATCCAAAAAAAAAAAAGTATGATCGTACATCTAAGCCTGCATTACATATATATGCTTGCTACGAAAATGATGGCTTGCGATTCAGTGCACTGTTTCGTTTCGCTTCCGAAAAAAGGCTTAATGTGTGCTGTGTTTCATTTTCATTTTCAACCTTTTAATTCGCCATCGACATGTACTCAATCCAGAGTATAATTTTTCCGCTGGCCTTTTTTCCCACCTTATTTGCGCTTTTGTTCCATTTGTACATTGATTCCATTGCGAGAGCTGTGAGTGAGCACAAAGATATCATTTAAATGAAGCTTCTTTAATCGTATCAACGAAAACAAAAAAAAAATGTGTGAGTACTTTTAGTGAGCTCACATCAACACCATGTGCTAATGGATCGGTTTGGATCAAGATTTCCGTCCATTATTTCGTTGCTCTTCTCGTTGCCTTCTCTTTGCTCTGTCTGCCAAACAACAACGTACAGACATCGAGTGTGAGCGCGCATTATATCCATTCGATATAATTAAGATTATAAACTACATGATTTATTGTTTTGCATTACACATAAATTTGGCTGGGTTTGGAAGGCGAATGGTTGAGTGTCTCGATTCTTCGTTTCAGCCGCGTTTATTTTTTTTTTGTGTTGAATCGTAAGTGTCTTTGTTGTCTTGAATAGATGCCACTCGTTGTTAATCGTACATTGTTGCGTGCCTTCAAATGTACACACATCTGAATTACACGGTGCCAAGTTTTATTGCAATCGACGTTCGTTTAAGTTACGATTTTCTATCTATATTCACTGGGTTTTTTTTCTTTTGATTTGGTTTTTTTTTTCAAACTTGTGTGTCTCATCTGTTTTGGTTTCGTCGTTCACCGTGTGTATGTGCTTGCATTGCGGTGAAATGTGTTGAAATTTTCATCCGAAACAATTGTACATTTAGCAATTTTAATAGATATATATGAACAAAATTGTACTTGTTTACACCGCTGAAATTGGATGCTGATGTTTGGGTTGACGTGCCTAAATATGTATTTATTACTCTCTTCTCTCTCACTCTCACTCGCTCTCGCTCAACCGCATATTATGATCTGCTAACAACAACAAGTGAGCAATCCGACCACTCTGAGCCAATTGCCGTTGCCAATTTAATTCATCGGAATTTATCTCGATTTTCGCGATTTTCATGTGATGTAACAATCCGTCAACAAACAACAAAATGAGCAATTGCCACAAACTCGAAATGGATTTTAGGCGCCCGCAACTATTCATGCCATTTTTTCTTCTTCTCTGTCAGCTTTTTTTTACTTCATCTACTCATTTCTATGGCGGTTAGAGAGAGAGAGAGAGAGAGAGAGAGAGAGAGAGAGAGAGAGAGAGAGAGATATTTCGTTTCAATTGTTTGAAAGATTCAATTATTATGAGAGTTGCATCTGACAAACCGTAATTATGATCTTAGTTAAAATACAGGAT